GGAAAAAGTGTGTGTATCTATTAAAAAGGATTGAGTTTATTTATTAAAGCATTTGGTTTGATGCTGAAAGGACTGTATTTTATATAATTTCAGCACTGATTATTTTATTTCATCAAATAAAGACGTTTAGGTAACACTTACTTTTATTAAAATATCATATTTTAGACTATTAGTCCTGGAACCAATTTTGTTGGTAGTACTTTCAAGACACAGGAGAAAAAATTAAGGAAATGATAACAAATGACCATGATCTCATTGTTATGCAACTGTTTCTGAGAATAATTTTCAAAGACTAGCTAAAAGCTTAACTTCAGCCTAATTTTGGAAGGGATGAAGAAAGAGGCCTTGATGAGGAATGAGGGATTTGGGCTCCACTCTGGGTTCTGCTGCTGAGTCACTGCTCTTGGGAACTGGCCTCGCAAAGTCTAAAAACCGTGGCCTTTGCATTTATAAAACTCAAATGGCAGCACTTAATTCTCCATCATGTTTGTGCGCTTCCCAAATCTTTTCACGGTAAATACTATCTGAGATGGCTTCTGTCCTTAGTTTGACAAGTCATGCTTTGCCAGCATTCGGTTCTGTAAGGATTGCATGAGGTTCTCTCTGCAGAGCACTTAGAACAGAGCAAAGTGGTTCATGGTGAGCCGTTCAACAAGCCTTAGCTTCCATCATCCTGTCATTATAGTCATCACATTTGTTCAAGTGTCCTGCTTTATTTTTCTTCCTTGGTCTCCAAAGAGTTGGGGAGAGGAGTAATGCAAAAAAGACACAAAGTGAGGAAGAGGATATAAAAGAGGGAAGGTGAGAGGAAGAGGAAGTGAAGCAGAGAAATATTAATGGACTGTAAAGCAAACGCCTTTATAATTAATTACATGTTATGTACTAAGTAGATTTTACTTGGGACAATTTAATGGCCCATTGCAGAATGTTTTTAAGGATTTTCTAAAAATCCAGTGGCTGCATCGTCTATAAATAGAAGCTTAAATCCATAGAAGTTCTATCAT